GTACAGCCAGTATGTCCACTTTTACTTACCTAAAATAACATTTACTAATTATGCTTATGTTTATTGTTATATACTGTACTTTCAGAAGCAGAAATATGAAGAGAATAAAATAAAAATAAACATACATAGAAGTTCGGTGATTCCTTTCCACACTATGGATCATCTTACATCCTCTACTTTGGAACCCATCAGCTTAGAGAATATGTATTAGTTTTTATCTTTATAGTGTCAGAAGAGATTTTAATTAAATCTTATGCATTAATGCTTGTTATCATACAGAGAGATACACTTGGAATATATTTTATGTTTCCTTAAACATTTTATAGTTGTGTTTCTGCATAAGATTTTATTTTGCAAGAATTGGACAAAACTTTTTTAACATATATTAGGTTGGTATTAGATCATTTCCTCTAAGATAGTACTAATTACAGGATTTTTTTGTAGGTTTCCCAAATGTTACTAAAAAATAAGTGCTATTGAACAGAACTCTATAAGTGACTGTTTTAGGAATATGATTAGAATATTTTTCTCTGGATGAAAAACTGTTGATTCTGCTCCTTACCCAGATAAATATGTGCAAGCAAATATATACCAATGACAAATTTAAAATCAACCATCCTGAAACCAGCAAAATATGTGCATAACATAAATTTGTGAGAAGCACTCAATTGAGAATTGTTTATAAGTAAATGCAGTCCATCTTATGGACATGTTTATAGAGTTTTAAGTTTCACTGGATTATTTTACGGCCCTGGAAAGATGGATTTGTATCAGCAAAACCATTTAGAAAGAGAAAAATGATGAATTTGCTCCTCAAAGTTACACAGCAGTAATACCTTCCATTCTCACCGTTAAAAACAAAACAAAACAAAACTGAATGTTTAGGTCTGATTGATCTATTGTACTGATCTACTCTCTGTCCCTTTAGACCAAAATCCCATCCTATGCTTAATGTTAAGCTTGGGCAATTTTTGCCAAACTTTATGAGCCAACCTCCAGCCTAGGCATAACTGCTATTTGAAAAAGGGATTTTGGCCATTTTCCTAGAGAGAGATCCCACCCATGTTCACCTTGTCTGTTGTTCCTGAAACAATTGCTAACGATCCTATCGATCAAGCTCATTGCCCTCGTCCTGTTTACATATTGATAGAGGAGGGAAGATTTAAATCAGGAAGTTTCAACACTGAAAGCTGTGTGTCTAGTTCATCTTACTTTAATTTTGTTTGAGGCCTTTTCTGCTCAGATAAACTCTTAACAGCAGCAAAAGCAAACTAGAGTGTGTATAAGACAAGTCTGTCTTGGTCTCGCTCTTCTAGCTGCTCTCTTAGGATGCCTGGGAGGTACCCTGCGCTCTCCCAAGGCACCGAGAGGAACAGTGCAAAGCCTGGCGCTCCTGCAGCTTACATGCTAGTGGAAAAGAGAGACAAAAACAAGATACATTAGTCAACCTCAGCCGTGTTTGGAAATGATGAGTGCTGAGTACAAAACAGAAAGAGGAGAAAACTGTCAAGTGGGGAAGAGAGTGATGCAGTGTTAGAGATGGTGTCCCCGAAAGCATCCCTAAGAGTGACATTGAGCAAGGGTGGAAGCCTGGAAGCCAGGGGACAAGTCATGTGAAAAACCTGGAAGTGAGCATTTCCAAGAGAACAGAGCACACACACAGTGCTCATAGCTAGGCATGCTGTGTACATGACAGTGAGGAAGAGGATGGTTGGAAAGCTTACATAGGGATCCTCCTAGGTCACTGAAGGATCTGGAACTTGTACCAAGTGAAGTAGGATACTGGGGAGGGTGTGTAGTCTGAATTGGCAGCAGCCTCTGTTATTTAATTGTTAGCCCATTTTGGCTACTGCATTAAACAAATAAAGGAACCGTGAGAAGAAGGGTGAGAAGAAGAGCAAGTGTGTAAGCAAACGAATAGGGAAGGAGGCCATTAAAGAGAGTTGGGGTAGAAGTGACAGTGCTTGGAAATGTTGACCACGAAGCAGGTGGGAAGAGACCAGACTTACACATTCAGGGGACTATAGAGAGAATCTGCTGACTGATAGCTGTGAGGTGTGATAAAGAGGAGCCATTAAGGATGACACCACCTTTTTTTACTGGCCCTCTACTGATCAAGAAGGGGATTAGACTTGAGTAATATTAATCTCCGAAAGGTACCATGTTAAGTGGAAGATGCATATTAGGTGATCAAGTAGGCAGCAGGACATAATAAGGATGGGCTCGGGCAGAGAAACGAACATCCCAAGAATCACTGCCTGGAAGTTTAAGCTCTGAGATGGGGTGACGTCACTAATGGGAGTACAGGTACAAAATAAAACGTGTTTAAGGATTAAGTCCTAGGGCACTTAGATTCTTAGAGGTCAGGGAATGAGAAATCCCAGCAATGCAAGATAAGAAGGAAAGGTAGCAACCTGGAAGCAGGTGAAAGGATGATAGAAGGAGGAGAGAACTATCGGCTGTGTCAGGTTTTTTTCAAAGATGAATGATGCAAAGCTAAGACTTACCCAGTGGGTTTAGCTCTGTGGAGGTTATAGATGACCTTGGTAAGAGTAACCAGGGTGGGGTGATGAATAGATTGAAGTGGAGGAAATTGATGCTATCATGAGTACACTTTTAAAAACAGTTTCATTTAAAGGGAATGACAAATGGAATGAATGGTAGCTGGAGGGGAAAACAAGATCAAGATAAGAGGTGAAGATATCAGAAAACCTGTTAAATGCTCACAGGAAAGACACAATAGAGGAAATATGTTGATATAGTAAAGAGAAGACAGAATTATCACTCGAGGTGTCTTTCTGGTGGGGTTGTCCCTAACTGAAAGCACTGTTGAGGAATAAAGATGACATTCAGAGCAGATGACAGGTGAGTAGCCGTGGTCAATGGCATGTGAAATGCTCTGACTGCTGTTCACTGCAAGGGCCACTGGGGAAGCCAGTTTTCCCTAGAGCACAGGTGGAGGGCTGTTCCTTGCAGGGAACTGAGGTATTTTGCTGATGGCTGACCATGTGTCCTTGAGGGGCCGTGGAAAGAGTTTGGGAGAAGAGCTGAGAGCCCAGGCCATCAGAGTCTAGATGAAACAGAAAGCCTTGGCTTCTGGTGGGGCTTTTCTGTGCAGTCCCATCCTGAGAGAGTCATACCACTGGTGAGGCATTTGCATCTGTCTACCTTCAGGTCACCAGCCTGGTTGTGTTAACTTTCTGGGCCTTCCTGGTGGCAGCTCCACCCCACTTCCAAGTCTCTCTCAGATACCTACTTAGTGACCTGCTAAGGTGGGGCACAGTCATGTTCTGGCCTGAGGAAGTGGGTCTCTGGGTTGTGGTAGGCTTGCTCACAGGCTCTGATGAAGAGCACTGGACAGGAGCCCTCCCAGTTTTGCCTTGAGAGCTGACTATAGCTGCAGAGCCCCTGCACTGTTGGTCACTGAATGATTTTGTGTAGATAAGCTCCTTTTTCATTGCAGAAATATTTTTAAAGAAAACTCATAATTAAAAAGTTATTATAAGTAATAAGTCTGTAATGAGAATGATGAAAATAAAAAGTGTACATCCTTATATAATGTTACGGTATCTCACAGCTTTGGGAAGTGCGTGACCCAGGGGCTCTGCCCCAGGAAACTGCCAGCCTAGGAGTCTCTCCCCATTGCTGTTCCTCCCCCCACAAGCTGGAGAATCGGGCTGAACTATTGCATTCCTCTAGTTGCAAATTAAAACTTCCCATACAGCAACAGGGCCTGTGCAAAGGCTAGGGGGGAGGAGACTGTGCGCTTAGGGTGTTCAGAGGCATAGAGACATCTGAGGGAGGTGGGCCCCCAGATGAGGCTCCTGCGGGCAGTGAGGGCCAGGTTAAAAATGGGGGTCCTTTTCCCAAGATCAAAGTGAAACTTTTGGAGATCCTTCAGAATGTGGGCAGAATAATCAGACTTAAGCATTAAAAAAGATCCCCCCCCTTCCACCCTGACACTTGTACAGAAAAAGGATTGGGGAGGGGGTAGATACAGATTTGCATACCTGGGTGAGTTCTGGAAAAAATTCACGCAAGACCTAATGGCCTAGAATAGAGGATGGGGAAGGCAAGGATGGATAGGTGGAGCTCTAAGAAATGCCTGGGGTGCAAAAGGAGCTGGACACATGGCTACTTCGACTGCTGTTGTTAAGAGAAAAAAGGTGAGGGATGGCTTAGGCTTCACTGGCCTGTGTGGTGTGGTTGTTGGTGGTGAAAATACCATGGATGAAGATAGCATGTATCAAGTGCTGTGGTTTTAGACAAGTTAACTGAGAAGTTCCCACATGTCCCATGTGACAGCTAAAGAATCCTATTTCCAAGCCTGGCCTACACATCTGGAGCTTAGAAGAAAGAAGGGACATGGAGCCAGCGGTTCCTAAGCCAGGAGCCCGTGCCTCGGAGCAGTTGTGTAGGCTGCTGTGTCTCCACCCTCACCTCCTCGCTGTGGTCAGCCCGTGGCTATGCAGCTTTCACCACCCCAAATTGTGTTCTGTGTAGTACACTAAGGATCATGGAGTGCAGTGCAGTTGTTTCCTTCTTTTTCTTCTCCTTATCCTTTCTTCCCCTTCTACTTTTTCCTCTGACCCCCCCCCCACTCATTTTTTCCTCTCCTGTCCACTCCGGTGGCCTCTGGTGATGTATACCCAACGTCCTGGGTGGCACATCACTGTCTCAGAAAGGATGCCATAGGGAATTCCCTTTCTGAAGCCAGGGAGCAGAGTTACGAACACTTTTTGTCACCATTTGGGAAGTGACCATCTGCCTGATACTTTACAAAGGCATGTGCTGCTTTTAAGAAGCTTCGGGAGCCAACAGGGCACGTTTCATAGAGCACAGTTGTCATCAGTCATGTTTATACAGCTAGATGAATGTTTTCAGCTCTGGAGAGATTTCACCTGCAAATCACTGTTAATTTCATTTTTTAAATTATAGTATTAAATTTTTGTTACTTGTTCCTCTAATGCTGATTCATTTTTTGCTTTCCTGGCTCATAGATTACTGTCCTAGATGAGACATGGACTGTATTCAGGCGTTACAGTCGTTTTCGAGAAATGCATAAAACATTGAAGTTAAAGTATGCAGAGGTAAGTTATTAACTCATTATCTCTAATTAAGAGCATTCATTTTATAAGGCAGATGAGCTGATTGCATTAGTGATGTCCACTCTCTGCTCTTTTCTCTGTGTCAGTATTAGCTTATATCACCTTCTTACGTCATTTATTATCAAAGAAAACCATTTAATGTTTTTCCTTTATTTCATTTTTTATTCTAGAGAATTTTCTGAACTCAAGATTTGGAAATAACAGTAAATAATCTTCATTCTTTTCATAAATTTTATGATGAATTTTATGTAAATATCTTAATCAATTTACAGCTTCTCCACTATCAGATCTATTAAAATTAAATAGTAAGCAATTCTTTAGTATGGCTTTTCCTTCTTTTGTCTTAGAAGGAGGCATATTTATGCTTAGACATCACTTAGTAAGAACTCAGGTCGTAAGTTTGTTATCAGTCATAGAAGAGGGTCAGATGGCAACAGGGAACTGTCCAGTAGGACGACCCGTTTCATTGTCAAGGTCGATTGCTGGGTTAGTCATCTTTTCCTTTTTGGACAAATACTGGCTTTTAGAATGACTTTCAGGAAGGAAAAGGGCTGCTATAGTGTATGGATATTTTCCAAGTGCTGATGATGGTGATGGTTTCACTTCCACAGAATGACACCTGGCTCAGTCCAGCACTGTGGGAACTTTGGTTTGAATGAGCAGCAAACTGTTCAGATGTCACCTCCCACTTTAACTAAGTAGCGCTTTTCAGCAAGCTATTTATACTTTAGTTTTATGTGCTAAAAAATAATTTAGTCAGAATTTTGTCCTTAATTGATTGACATTAAATAAATGTTTTATTGACATCACCGTGGCTTCTGCTCATTCTAATCTGTATATAGTAAAAAGATAAATGCTTTTTAGTAAATAGAATGACTACTTGGTGTGTAGACGAACCTCGTGTCTAGGCAAAATTAAGCTGGCTCTGAAGTTTCCTCCTCCAGCTTCCATACTAGTACCTGAAAACTGCAGAAGCTCTGGGTATGTTACAGTCAGTATTCTGGGAGATATCAGTTTCAAAAAATTCCTGCATCAAATTTGTTTGTTTCTATAGTTTACCCTCCATGTCCCAAATTAATGTTGACAATAAAAAGTGGACACAGTGTATACAAATCAAATGTGCAGAGCAGCTTATTTTCAAAGTGAGCTTTGTAGCTCATTAACCATTTGACTATGAGTTAGTATGTTGGTTCTTTAGTAATGTATAGATTTTATATGTTGTATTAACATCACTGAATTCCCAGAGTAATGGATGAAAAGCAATTTATTTGAAAGAAAGGATGTAAACTTTTTACACACAGATCTATTGCTTACTCCTTGATGGAACATACTTCTTATCTGTTTTGTGTTAGTTTAACCCATTACATCTAGGTATATTTTTATTTTAGAACCCAGTAAAATATTAGTGGAGAGAATCTTCTGTCTACAAGGAAGCATTATAGCATATTTAAGAGTAAGCATGCCATTTTTAAGTAAGTTATGTGTTTTTTGTAAAAAATAATCAAGAAAGAATAATGAGACAGTGTTGGACGCTAGTATGAAGTCATTCAAGGTTGAGCTCTCTGACAAGGTAGCTTTCTAGTTAAATATGAGCTAAGATATGTAAAAGAGTTTAGGAAAAATCACTGCACATTTCTAGTCAGTGTTTTTAAAGAAAACTTCAGACAAATACAACAGAAACAATCTTTTATGTAAGATGAAAACTTACCTCCAATTGCCAAGAGTGGTGGGATACAGCATTTGGAAGGCTGAGGTGGGAGGATCACTGTGAGTCTGAAACCAACCTGAATTACATAGTGAGTTCAAGAGCAACCTGAACTGCATAGTGAGACCTGCTCTCCCCCACAAAAGAAAAAAAAAACTTACCTGCAGTTAAGAATTGTGTGAACTTGTAAGTCAGAGTGACTGCCTGGTAATGGGAAAAATTAATAAACAGATTATCATACATGCAAAAATGTTATCAAGGATAAAAAGCAGTCGTGATAAGCATGATTTAAAAAATTAAGTGATCCCCAAATGCAGATGCTCAAATGGCATTCATTTTTTTCCTTGACAAATGTGTATTGAGCCGTTAATATAGTTGTGAACAAGATGGCTGCATTCTGGCCTCTCATGAGGTATAAAGAATAAACAATAAAGCAAGGCAACTTCAGGTAATGCCCTAGAGTGAACCATGCAGGCCACCAATCATGAGCTGGGTGCTGGGCTGCTTTCAGTGGAGCGGGCTGGGCGGGCCTTCCTAAAGGGAGGTAGTTTGAGCTTGGTCCTGATGATTGGGACAGAGCAGGACATGAAAACAAGAAGTGGATGTTGATGAAGCAGCAGATGCTAAGGCCCAGCATGGAACCAAGTGTGTTCTGTTCCAAGAGCGAAACTTGGAGGAGCAGTAGGAGGGAGGGCAGAGGGCTGGGCTAGGCGTGGACGTGGATTTGTATTCTTGTGTGTGGGGAGCCCCTGGACAGCGTCACGGTGACAGAGTCACCCACTCTGCCCTTTTAGAAGGCCATCTTAATGAGTGTGTGGAAAATGGATTGTAGGAGTGGTGGAGAGCTTGATTCCAGAATACTCAGACATTACTTACTTGAATGCTTTTAAACACCAGTTGAAAACACCAAGAAAAATGTAGGCTATAAACCTGCAGTTTACAGGAAAATGAACCTTCTCTTCGAAGGAAAGATCATTGCTTAGATCAACAGTAAGTGAGAAAAATCCTTTTATTTCTGCTTCAGTCTGTAGTTAAGCTTCAGTGTCCAGACCATTATATTTATGATTTCTGCTCACAGGGGCCCCCTTTCCTGAAGACAGACTCAGGATTGGAATGGTAACTGAGAGGCCCAATCCCCTTTCCATGTTGACTTCAGCTTTGGAACTAATAATCACTATTATCCTAAGAAACTGACGGAAAACTCTTGACAACTTCGGGTGCCAGTGTGTCACAGAGATGATGTGGGCAGTGATCGATAGCCATGCAGAAGTCCCTGGAAATGAGTACTGCATGTCAGAAGGGGAGCAGGGCTAGTCACAAACCCTGAGAAGGCAAGACGGATGCCAGGTGACCTTGAGTTACCACTGCTCACTCTGCCATTTTCCCATTATAGGCCAAGCACCTGCCCCGCTGGTACCATGCTCTCCAGCTCTTGAGGCCTCCTGCAGATGGCGCTGTTGCCAGTTGCGGCTTGCCTTGGCTTACACAAGCAATACAGGAAAACCAGTGTAGAAAACTAGGAATTTTCACTCCATGCCCTATTTCTAAACCAATAATAATAGCGACTTGGGATTTTTAAGAAGTCTAAGGGCACAGTAGCACATCCTCTCAACTTAGATGAATCTTATTTCAGTCCAAAGAGAACAGCCTTATTCTTGTAATGTTTTTGAGAAGTAACTTAAATATCAAGTTGAGTATCAGCTGTGTACTTTTCTGTGAACTTGGATTTTCTTTTGTGCAGCTCGGCTTCAGAGCTAAGAAGCGTGTGCTGGGAGTTGAGATCAATATATTTATTAAGTATGTGTCAAGTATTATTGTTATCTTAGTGCTCATATGACTAGCATACTATAATGTTAGTATGGAAGTACTCAGCTCCCTGCAGATGGTCTGTTTGGTCTGAACATACCCTAGCAGTCACTGGACTTGTTAAAGGGATAACTTCTTCAGGAAAGCCCAGAGGCTGTACAGAAAGTTCTTGGGAATTTCCTCTCGTGGCCGCCTGTTTCTAAGCCAAGTGGGAACCTGTTTTATTACCCTCACTCCTTCATCAGGTTGGCTTATCGTTTCTATGGAAGTAGAAAACTTCTCATTCTCATCATTGCAAGGGTAACAAAATGTTTGATGATGAATTTTAAACTGTGTGTATTAAATTTACCTAGTCATACAAAACTCCAAATTTTACATCAGTTTGAAAAAAATACTGAAGCACACACATTGGAACTTAGAATATTCAGAATCTGTAATATGCTTGCCAAGGTGGAGAATCTCTTTATCACCTTAAAACTTCACATCTAGTCACAGCCTGTAATATTTTGGAACTTTGTCTAAAATTATATCTTGTTCCTTCACATTTCCATTTGGAGTTTAGCCATGTTCTCCTAGGGGATATATTTTAAAGCAGTTTGATGTGCTAGTTTCCTTGGTAGAGATGTTTTTCTTTTAGTAATCTTTTTTTTCCCCCAAATAAAAGATTGTATGTTCATGATAAATGTTTGACATTAAAGGTGTGTGTGTGTGTGTGTATGTGTATGTGCAGAAAGAGACTGAAAGCTTGTCTTACTATGTCCCTTAGAGGTGTCCATTGCAATGCACATCAGGAGATCTTCTTGGGTCTAAGTGGACTTCCAGACACAAGGCTGTTGTAGCCCATATTCATAGTTAGGGTACCTGGGAAGGGTGCGCTACAGGAATCCCTGCTTGCTGGCAGGACAGAGGCCTTGGCAAGGGTCCCCCAATCTCTGCAGCACTCCAAACAGCTGTCTTGGAGCTGGGCCTCTTGTCCCATCTCTCCCAGGTCATAGCTTGGGTGCATGGAGGTGAGACCCACATGGGCAGGTTCAAGGACCCCATGCTACAGGGAGGCAGAATCTCTCAGACCAGCTCCCATAGGTAGAACTGCCAGAATCCTAATCAGAAGGAGGCACACAGAGCTACCTGTCACCTCACCTGCAAAAGCCTGATGTGAAACTGCTCACCAGGTAGCTGTCCTGATACACTTTGTCAGTGGGGGTGGCTGGCTTGAAATAAAGTTGGTATAACCCCTGGTTAGGGTTCAAAATCCTGCTGGTGGACTATTGGGAACTTTTTAGATTTTCATGACTGCTTTTCTGAACACTCTCGAATATCTACGTGTCTTCTGATCCCCACATGAAACTTCCTCTGTTAGAAAATTTGATAATTGCTCAAACATCTTTCAAAACATTTTAGCCTTTTGAAAGCTCTCAATCTGGTTTAACCTGAATTCCTAATCCATATTTGATATGAGCAGGATTGGGAGTAGTGAGAGGATTGATGCAGTTAGGAAAACCAGGATAAAGAAGGAATAAACAGAATGTGGGCAGGCTGAGCACTCTGAAGTCCGTCCCTGTTGAGAGAATATTGCAAGAATGCCGTATCCATCCCCTGATAAAGTCTGCGTGGCTGTTTGCTTACCGTCCGGGAGTTGGTGATTTACTGCAAGGTCTCCTGAAGGAGAAGGATGCGCTGGTCAGCTGAAGACTCTGCAGGGAGCTTTCTCTGCACATGGCTGGTGAGCCAATTAAAAGAACGGGCAGCTATGATCACTAGATGGTATCCCTCAAGAAAACAGGAGCTCAGGGTTATTACCAGAATGAACGAATGAATTGAGAAGACAAAAAACCACTGGGTTCAAAAAACTGCATGGAGCAGGGTGGGAGCAGAAAACTTCAGTTGTATGGCGATAGTAGGAATTTTTGGAAGGAAGAAGGAAAACTTGGTCCAGTGCTGCTGAAGAACTGATTCACTGCCCAGGACTTCAGGCCACATGTGAGTGCAGTGCCCTCTACTGCTTCAGAGACATCACAGGAGCAAGCAATGTCCTTCCCCGTGGACTGCTGTCGATACCTGGGGTTTTTCAAAGTGTCTATTTTTATTTGTTGTCTTTAATCCTAGCAGTTTCTTCCGGATTCCAGATAGGTTCCCCGTTTGGTTTTGAATTGACAGATAGCATGAAAGATGCTAGCTTCCTCTGTTCCTAATTCTCCCCTCTCTTCGTTGACCTTGTATGGAGTCCTCATCACATGAAGCCCTGTGAGAAACAGTGCCTGTCACGGTCTGTTTCTGCTGCTAAAACAAAATATTTCAGTCTGGGTGATTGAATAACAACAGAAATTTGCTCTCAGTTTTAGAGCCCAAGAGGTCCAAAGGCTGTGAGATCAAAGCAAAGCAGGTTCTTAGTCTGGTGAGGAACACTCCTTACGGAATCTACCACATCTGTAAGATGGTAGCACCGCAGCTACTTTGTAAAAGATTGTGAGAACCTCAGACAATGCATGTTAGTGAAAGCAGCTCTGAGTGGTCTTGCAGCATCTGCCAGAGAGCATGTCTTTGAAATTTTATCTTGCAAATCATTTCTATATGAAAAGCACACAATTTTTTACTCTATTAAAATCTGTGCAAGCTTGTTAAATATCAGTCAATTTATTTTCTCAAGAACAAAGCCCTGTTAAGTGTTTTGTTTCTCTGGAGGAGGCAGATTTACTATTGATGTCTTAAATCCGTGGAGTTTGCTCATGGATCCAGATCCCCATGTGGTAGTCCTGCTGCACACTCATCATGAAGCTGAAGAGAGAAGCTTTTAACACCATGTCCCTAAGCTTTCCTTAAGATGTATAGTGCAGACCTGGCCTCCCCACCCTCTTCACTGCTAACTGAGGGTTCCCATTGTGCTTAATAAAGTATGTGACATGAGGCCAGAAAGAGATGGCTGAGGAGCTGCTGCTTCTCCAAGATCAGAGAGGCCCAGAATTGTCTGGTCTCATAAAGGACTTTATTTTAGTAGATGTAACAGAAATTCTCCTTTCCAAGTGCTAGACCTCACCAGACTGCCAGGAATTGAATGTCTGTGTTCCTCCCAAATTTGCAGGTGAAATTCAATCCCCACTGTTGGTGTCAAGTTGCAGCCTTCAGGAGATTGCCCTAGGAGTGGATCCCTGAGGACCAGGCCTGAGGGGAGCTTAGCTCGGCTTCCCCACCACTTAAGGATGTAGAAAGCACTCTCTGTAAGGAGTGTCCCTCACCAGACTCAGAACCTGCTTTGCTTTGATCTCACAGCCTTCGGACCTCTTGGGCTCTAAAACTGAGAGCAAATTTCTGTTGTTATTCAATCACCCAGACTGAAATATTTTGTTTTACCAGCAGAAACAGACGGTGACAGGCACTGTACCTCTCGGGGAATCATTTCATAACAAACACGATTAAACACTGGAACTGAACATGGAGGACCTTTTTTATAGTGCTCTTGGCCAGAAGGGCTGTAGCAAGGTGTGTTCTGCCTGCAGATGAAAGGCTGAACAGTGACATTCAAATGTGCAGTGACAGCTAGTGCCAGGAACCTTGAAAAGAGGGTAAGTTCCAGGGGGGAATGGAGCACACTGCTGTCTGCATCATAACTAAATCATCAGAGTTCACAGAAGAATTCCATGAGTCACGAGAGTCCTGAGTGTCAAGCACGATCAGCCTCAACTAGATGCACTAGAGGGCTCTCTTCCCCGGCAAAGCTGAAACTATGTTGAGGACCTTTGAGGGAAAATGAAAGATTACTATGTAAGAGTAAATGTTTTTTCTTGCCATGGCATCTCTAGGGGTCCAGTGGTTAGCAGTGGGAGGGAAGAAAACAGGCAGTTATTTTATTTGTGTATGGACTTTTGGTTTGTGCTGATAGAACCATTTCTCACCTGTTTTATTTCCAAGTAATTTACCCAAAGTAACACCAAAGAAAGACAAGAAACTAGCTGTTGGGCTCATACCTGTCAACAGCTATTCACAGCCCACCATTGAAATGCATTCTGAGTGGTTTTTAAACCATCTTCATATTTAATATAAAAATTGCAAATCCACTCACCACTGAAGCAATAGCACTGCCAACTGTGGCCCCAGAGAGCATCCAGTGAGCATGAGATAAATTCATTTGCACCAAGCACTCAGATTCCTTGAGTTTCTAAACAGCAAGCAGCTGTGTAGGCCAGTAGAGGAGGCTGCCAGTTTTCTGACCTGTTATGTTACCAGAGGCCCAGGAGTCTCATTGTGTGGTTTGTTTCACACCATTCTCTTCAGTTGGTAAACAGTATTTAAATCACCACTTTCAAGGATCAGGGGAGAAGCAAAAAGCATCTGAGTTACTTGGGAAACATTTCCAAAAAACATGAACTCAGGCCCTAAACTAGGAAATTCTGATCCAGTAAATCTGATATGAGGTCTGGTCATAGATTGTTGGGAAAATCATCCCCCAAATGATGCTCGCTGGACCACTGATTAAGATACTGCCTGCCCTTTCACATCTACCCACTAGTTGATTTTTCTCTATTATAGATTACTAAATCTAAGACATGATATCCAGTTACAAATAATCCTGGATCTTGTAGACTTTACTGACAGACTAGTTTAGACCTAAAAAAAATGAAGGAAAAAATCTAGTCTCTTTGATTGCCGGAGATGTGGGCTTGCTTCAGATCGTCCACTCTAAAAAGCAGAAAGCAAGCCTGGGGCTTTTTGCTCTGGGTGAGATGCCCACGCTTCAGGGCCCTTAACTGAGTAGCCCAGCTTTGCATTTTTTGCTTAAGACAGGATCTCGTGGTGTAGTCCAGGCTAGCCCTAGACTTGCTACAAGACTCAAACTGGTTATCCTCTGCATCGCCTCCTGAGTGCTGAGGCTACAGGCATGTAGCCCACACCCAGCTCAGCTTTGCCTTATAGAAATGGGATACGAAGTCCTGGAGAGAATTTTATTCAAGGTCACATTAAAACATAGGAACGGGTGAGGTTCATGTCTCCTGATTCCTTGTCTCCTGTTCTTTGTCCAAGCCTCCTTGTATCATGACTATGTTCACTCTGAAAGAGAAGAATTTCAGAATGTGCTAGATGAGGCTGAAGATGAGAAAAACCTGTTCCCTATAAAAATCTGTTACATGGCGAGTCCTTGTGGATGCAAACTAGACAACCAGAAATTGTGTTCCATCTACTGAATGTCATTACAATGACATGTTCTTGGCATATCTCAGTCCCTGAAAGAGAAAATTAGCATCATAGTAAGAGATGGGAAAATAGAAGCAGTTGAATTAATTCTACTGCATATTTATTTGTAAAAATGCAATATTTAATATTCAGAGATCTGGATGTATTTCTCTCAAAGATTGTTGCTACATACATAAATATTCTTAGATCAGTTTCCACTGGCTCAGGGCTGAGCGAAATTGACACTGGCTTTGGGAAGAAAGAGACTTCATGTGGAAAAGCTGCAGTCTTTATGCCACATATAGCTGGAAGTTGACACAGCCCCAACTGCATTTCAGAGTAGCCCCACTGACTCCAAGCTGAGCGCTTCAGTGACAAGCAGACAGCAGCATCTGTTAGTGATATGTCCTGCTCATGTTCGTTGCTGCTGTGCATGGACCATTCAGTGGATGTCATGAGACTCTACCTTGCCCAGATCTGGCCAGGCACAGAGCAGGTGCTCATGAGTTTGGTGGGGCATGAGTTTAAGTGACCCTATCAAGGATCTGAAGATAGCTCATTGTGCCATAACCCATCCAGGGTGTCCTGAAGACTCACTGCTTCCTGCCTCTAACAAATCAAACTTGGAGGAGAATTGCTTATTTGTTGTGAGTGTATTTCTTCATGACAGCTGTTCTTATAAGGCTTTGGGAGCTGCTGTTAATTTTGAGTAGTCATGAAAGCTTCCATCTAGTCAGCTGTGAGAATTACAGCAGGCTTTTGATGAGTTTTCATTATTTGCATTTCTCAAAAGCTGGAGTAGCTGAAATTTACAGCTACAAACCTGCAGGGTGCAGGTGTTTCAGAAAACTATATGTAGGTTCATTCACTTATGAAAGACAGGATACAGCTGATTTGACCCATTAGAGTACCACATTAATTTTTTCTCTCTAATCTTTAGAAATAGAGTACTACTGTAGTTTGGTGGCCAAGTATCACAGAAGTAAAGAAAATGACTAGTAAATGAGGAATGGCTTTGAAGTACACTTTTATTGAGTGTTAACACAAGTCAGATATTTTCCTTGTGTGAGCAGAAACTCTGTAAGTTCATTAGTTCTCAGGTTTCTTTCAGTGATTTAAAATCCAGTTTTAGCTGCTTAATTGTTAGAAATCATAAAAGATAAGCAAGGTTTTTTATTACTCATTTTAATTTCTTGTCTGTATTAGACTGCCATTATATATATTCAAAGTAGTAACGATGGCATTTATCAAAACCTAATGCTGTCTTTTGCCTCCAAGACCACCTGGACTTAATACAGGATCTGGCTAACCTTAAAAGTGAACTTGGCTAAGAGAGAAAAGCTTTTAATTAAAGAAAACTTTTCCATTACATTTAATTTGTCTTTTTGATGGCAGCAGACTGGCCGACCCATCTTATGATAATGTAATAAACGTTGAAGTCAGGATTTGAGCTGTATGACTCTTAGAAGAAAATTGGGCTGTGTCAGTTCCCTGGAAATCAAGCAGAAAAATCAGCCTATAGATGAAACTTTTACTTTGTCTTGGATTGTTAAGAAATGTTGCAATATCAGGAGAAAACACTGAGAGTATTTCTATATATGTGCATAGATGGGTAGCCAGCTAACTTGGTAGACTGATAAATGGATTCTCAGTGCTTCTGTTTTACCAGACTTGGGATGCACAAATAAAGTGCAGAAAATGACTGTGCTAGTTTTAAGTAACTATTATGTGCTTTATTTTGTTGATGATTCTCATTCAAGTGTATTTGCAGCCAGAAACTTATAGGTCTGTTGGTTGAACATTCACAATAAAACTTATTACTTTGGTTTTTAGATTCCACATATACTGAGGAAAAGAAAGGAAAATTTCATGGAAAATCAGTAGACCTCAAAATTACTGATTCCATTTTTCTAATGGCTTATATTTCAGCTCTTTTGTCTCTAGAACACATTTTATTTACTGAGTTGGAGAATAAGCTTGTCTTTATGTTCCTCTTGAACCAAAAAATCTGTGCTATTTTAATCCTCGTTTGTTTCCTGTGTTTTAGTCTGCATAATCAAATTTCATAATTATGCAAAGTAGGCCATAGGGCTGTTTTAAAATTTCTTCCAGCACATTCTGGATCCATCATATCTTCCACAAATATTCAGTGTTTTTGACCTCAGTCATCATTTTTTACTTTAATATACAGTTTTCCCGTAAGAGCACAAATGTTTCTGCATCATTTCCCACTGCTGCTCTAAGGATAATGACTATCACAGGAAAAGATGCCATTTTGAGGGTTTTCTCATGAATACTGCATCCCCATTTATGCCTATCCTTTTTCTGTCCTGTAACCTCTCGAAGATTAGCAGGTTTCATTATTGTTACATTGGGCTCCATTTTCCCTTTGCACATCTGAGGCTCCCTTCAAATGAGAATGCAATGAAGATTTTACAGGAAGTAAGATACACTCCTCAAGAGTGATATAGGAGAGCCAAGATAATAGGTAAAATAGCTCCATGGTGCCTCAAGTGCCACTTGGAACTCTGCATTGAGAGATTTTAATCACCAGACCTGAGTTACAGAATTTCAGAGTGCAGGAAACTTAAACATCTTAATTCTGTCCCTTCACTTTAACAGATGATCAAATTAGGACTTGGAGTGGCTTTAGGTATTGTCCAACACTACACAACCAACTATTTACTGAGCTGAGATTTGAAATCTGATTGCCTCAAATCGCAGGTGATTAAAAGAAAGACATATGGTGTTAATTTAGCTGTTCCATTAAATTTGTGAAAGGAATAGCCACATTTTACTGTTTCTATAAAAGTGATGCATACTTTTTTTAAATAAAAATTGCACATAATACAAGGAATATAAGAAAGCAACAAATTCATTCTCTTTAACTAATGATACCACTTAATGAACATTACTTTATCCAAATGAATGAGTACAGATAAAAGGGTAGATACATAGATTGATAAAAAGGAATTAAAATGAGAGAATAAAGAAAAGGAATGAAATAATTTTAAAACATTTTTTCATTCTAGAATACTGTTTAAATACCAGTATTAAATTTAATTTTACTTGGATTTAATACATATGAAAGAAAATGATGTAAATTGAAATGGCTAAACTTCAAATTAAAATTGCTCTACCACAAGATGTAAGTCCTCTAAAATATATGACTTTAAGGAAGAAATTATAAAAACATTAAAATGTTGAAGTCACTGGTTTTCAGATGATGTATTACATTATCAGTTGATTTCCAGCAGAGATAAAATGTTCTGCTTCCCAATTTTTAAATTTGTTATTTTACACTGTCAAGATATATAGCATTTATATTCTTTTATAAGTTATGTATAATTCCCTCCATGTGTGAGTTCAGGTAGAGACAGTATTTACTTTACCCCAGATTTTTATGTGGTGGTGTCTCTCAGTTGGGGGTTTTTAGTCATCCGGTATGTTTTGAAAGATACACTCCAATGTGTATTATCTAAGTTTCTGTTTGCCTTTATGTGTCCTGTGTACTCCAGAGATACCTTGGTTAATGTTTTAGGCCTTTTTCTTATTGCTGAGACAAAATACCTGACACTTGCAATGTAAAGGAGGAGTGTTTACTTCATCTCACAGCTTTAAAGGACTCAGTCCCTGGCCAGCTCCAAGGCAGGAAGGACCTGGCAGAGGACACCTGCACGCTTCATGGCAGCCCAGAAGCAGTGAATGGAGGGAGAGAGAGGCACCCTTCCACCTCACAGCCCAACTGACCGTCTCCTCTGATCAGCCCCACTGCCTAAAGACACAGGCCTCTGTGGAATCCACTGAAGAGACCGCACCCCAGGACCCAGTTACCCTCCTAAAGCGTCACCTCTGAACACATGAGGCATTTGGGGGACCCTCTAGAACTTGAGCCATAACAGTTAGGTGTAAACTTCTTGGGTCACAGTTTTTAGACATTTCATTTTGTGTTATTTTCACAGCTCTGCGATATTACATGCTAATGTGTATTTTTATTGTCTTCATCTGCATTTATTCTTTCTACTAGCACTTTCATTGTAGTATTTTTATTTCTTTTATTTCTTTGAGTCATACTTGCTCATTTTTAAGTGATTAGGGGAGGTACAGTGGTACTGAGTTTTTATTCATTTTTTTTAAGTTTTAGAATAATTTCAGGCTATGTCTTTGTCTGGTGGCATACCTTATAGCATAGCAATGTTAAAATGCTGGATAAAGGAGTCAAGGTAGGCTGGCCTTTGGTATGAGGTTTTCTTTATCTGGCTGGACTACATCAGGGCAGTGTTCATTGCTTGTAGCTTTGGTGTTGGATGCTAGACTCCTTCTCCTCCCCTTGTTAATGTCTCCACTGTGGCTTGGGCTTCTGTGGAGAGCTCTTTTATGGGATCTGAAACTTCAGTTCTTGTAACCACAGTGCGTGTTATATAGCAGTGCTATAGAGTGAGGCTGGTGGGAGGGAGACCTGCTGCAGCACTGGTAGGGCCAGGTCTTTCAGTGAGTCTATGTTGGGCATCTCTCTTCCCTCTATCAGTTATGCTTTGGTAAAGAGCCCAGGTGAGGAGGTTCTGGTACAGCAGTCCTCTGAGGGCCATCCCTGTTAGGAGAACAGCACTATGGGACTCCTTTAGAATGGCTGCCTTGTTGTTCAGTGCTACAGGGATTTTTCTCCTCTCTGCGCAGTGTTGAGATCTCCCAAAATCCAGTCCCTCCAGGCATTATTAGCACTCACACCTGGCCCTGTTGAGCCACTTATACTTCCTGAATGATCCTTGGAGTTTCCCTACCAATCATGACTCTAGCTGCTGGCTACTGGGCCTGGTAAGCTGTGACTCTGTATCCATAACCTGCCCTGACCTCACCTTTCTGCTGGATCTAGGAAGAGTTGTTGGTTCATAGTTTTATTTAGCTTTTTTTCTTACTATGAGTACAGGCATGGTAATTTTCAGGTCCCTAATATGTGTTATCAGAAGCGGGAAGCCCTATTTTATAATAGTTTGAAGTTATAGAGAGAAAAAAGATGAAGTTAGTACAGATGTCATATACCTTCATAGCTTCCCTTATATAAACATCTCTCCATAAGTAAAGTACATTTGCCATAATAGTGAAATAAGATTGGTACATTATTATTGACTGTATTGCATTCAGGTTTCCCTAGCTTTTACCAAACATCCTTTTTCTATTCCAGAATCCCATCTAGGGTACCGCATTGCATTGCCCCTGTGCCCCCTTAGCCACCTCCTTGCTGTGACAGTGTCCTATACTTAATTTGTGTGTGTGTGTGTGTGTGTAATGACCTTGGCATTTTGGAGTAATACTGGTCAGGTATTTTACAGTGTCCCCAGGTGAGATTTGTCTGGTGTTTCCTGATGATTAGACAGTGAGGGTGATGGGTTTTGGAGAAGGAGACCACAGAGGTAAAGCCCCAGCATCACAACATTGTCATAATTCATTATAGAGTTATATGCTGTTGGAACAACAGGATGATTTGTTCCTGTTGGTATTGAACTTGGTCACCTGGCTGCTGTTCCTCTCCTGTAGCCCCCTCTTCTATACTGTGCTTTGTGGAAGAAAGTCACTTATATAGATACATAGATACATAGATTTTTTAAACTTAGTTTATGTTTCTATATAAAGCCCATCACCCTCATTGGCTGTCTGGAGCTGTTTCAGCTGATGCTTGTGTTTCTTTGAGTTGCCCCCCATCTCTGTGTTTGATTTAAGCACTTTCTTACTTTCTGGAAGTACAGCTTTTTTGGGCTCATACTGTATATTCCTAGATGTCGGTCTAACTATTTCTCCCAGAGATGGTTCACTTCTCCTTTCTCTCTACCCTTTATGCTCTTTTCTTTGAAGCTGTGTATCACTTGCTTCTTTGGATCTTTTTAGGACACACTGTGAGCCTGTGTGACTCTGAACAGATATTTGCTTGACCTCATCCCCATCACCTCAGCCTGGTCTTCTGTAGTATGTGTTCCGTGTCACCTTTTGCTTAGGTTTCATTCAGTATCACCTCACCGCACTCTTTTTATGCATAGTTGTGGTTTTAGTTTCTTCTGGTTATTACTCTTCCTTAAGTTAAGTGTACTAATTTTTGTGGGCAAATACCCAGTGTCATGGAAGTAAGGAGGATAGATACTGTGGAAGAAGACGGTGGCAAGCTGAGACATTCCCACTGTTACTTAGAAGTTTTCTGGAATGTTTTCCATCCATTATTTCCCTTCACTCTGACCTCTGTTCTCTTGCTTCTTGGCTTTCATGAGGGTGGTGGGGTCACTGGCAAGGGCCAATAAAGCCTAAGCGCTGGTCTCTTCTGACTCTAGCAACCTGTCCCCTGGAAGCTACCATCCCTAACCATTTTGCTTTTCCTAGACTTAGAATGCCTGAGAATTTGGGTGATTACTTTGGTGGATGGCTTGCGATACCAGAGGTGCAGGATGGGAGATGAGATGTGGAAGGGGAGACTTGGGCAGAGTGTCATCTTCCCTCATCTGGTCCCTTCTGCAGGGGGATGGCTCCAATACTGCTTAACCAGCGATTTGAGCTGTGGCCATTTCCTGCTTTGCAGACAGAATTTTTCCTTTTCTCTTACTACTTTTGCATTGTTTTGTGATACTTTTGGAATGGTGAAGGGGACATATAAAGCCTTTGTTCTACTGTCTCTATAACTAGAACTGGGCTATGTCCATTTTCATGGTTTGTGGAAGACTGTTTTTGTTACAAACTTTTCAACCCAAGATGTTCTCCATATAAGTTATGAGGGGAAATAATGATACTTGTGCTTTATGAAAATGAAATCTGATAGACAGAAAATTCTTTTTTCCTCATTACTGAATGCCAGGTACCTTGAACATTTTATATAAGTCAGAAATTGTTACTTGAGTCCCTTTAGAATTTAATTGTTGTGAAGACTGTAGAACTTCAGGGGCTTTAATTTTTTGAAATATAGAATGCTCTATTTCCTTTGTCGGGGCTTACAAAGGAAATCAAAGATGAGTCTGTGCACCTACAGATTGTTTCTGACAGTACTTCCATGAAAATCAAATCTCGACTATCTGCCGGATTGGAAAAATGAGGCAATAAAAATGAAAATGTGCAAATATAAAGTACTTGAGAGGAAATGAAAAGGTCCGGATAATATTGCTGATTTTATTTAAAATTTTCTGTTTAGCCTAAGAAACTAAAGATGTTGGAGTGGGGTGGGGGGTTAAGAGTGTATACGTCAAGGATGATTCAGAATCACCCTGCTCTGAGCCTCTCATATCCTCTTGAAGATTTCAAATTTGTTGGAAATATTACATCTAAGACAGCAGCACTTTGAAATACCATAGGAAGCATTTCTTTTCTTTTTTTTTCTTCAGTCTGGTCCTATAGGCATAATTATTTGGCCAGTTGCTCTTTTGATCTTGGTAAATTGTTCATTTTGTAAGCTATTTAGACAGTTTAATTAATTCACAATTGAGAAATGAAATCTAAAGAGCATTGCTTTGCTGTTCTATTCTAAGACAAACGAGGCAATTGCTTTGTACTTGTGGAGAAAGTTCAGGCCTTTTTCCCCCCTGGGCTTCTATACTGTTCTGAGGGTTTCTGCTCTATTATTATGTTCAGAATAAAACAGCAGTTTCTCCTGTCTTCTTCTTCCTTGTTCTATTTAGGCAACAGGTCAGCACCAGGTCCTCTTTTTATTTTGCAAGGATTCATTTATTTATTTGAGTCAAAGAAGCCAATCCAAATAAGGATGATGATGGGCTTTGTAACTTCTGGCAGATGAGTTTAGGAATGTGACTTTAAAATCTGTTATGTTGGCAGCTACCTGTCGTCCCCCATTATCCTCAGGATATATGTTCCAAGTTCCCCAGGGTATTTCTGAAACAAGTGCTGAGCCTAAATATGCTACACAAGTCATACATATGATAAAGTTTGATTTATAAATTATAAATGAATAACAGCAACATACTAAAGTAGAATGATTATATTATATATGTAATATATAACATATAATATAATTATATGTAATATTATATATTATAATACACTATAATAAAAGTATAAGAATGTATTTGCACATACTCTCCTTCTATCTCCCTCCTTCTCCATCTCTCATAGCTCAAAATATTGTCCTGTAGATCATAGCAAACTCAGCATATAAGTTTTTTCTTTCCTTATAGCTTTTATGTCGATGTTTCTCCAAAGCCTCATGAGCTCATAGATGAATGTTTTGGTATTTGATACTGGATTTTAAGTGTGATAACTGGATTAGTCCATAGATTGGTTTACCATAGTTGTAGGTGATAGATTTAGTGAAGAAAGAAGCCCTACCCTGGGTATGGGTGGCACCAACTAATAGGGTTGTGGCCTGGATAACATAAAAGGGAAAGCAGAAGGAAGGGTGCTGCCTCCTGTCTGCCCTGCCATGGACTGTTTCTACTCCGCCATGCCCCTCTGCAATGCATCCCTAGCGTGGAGCCAGCATACTTTGGGCTGAAGCCTCTAAAAAATGTGAGCTAAAATAGACCTTTCCTCCTTAATCTGTGTGTTTTGTATTTTATCCCAGGAACAAGAAAGTAACTGCAACATTTAAGTCAAGAACATTCACCTTTTCATTTAAAGGAAGTACTATAGATTTTCTTAGGTGCATCTTAATTGCTAGTGTCACCATTTTTACATTTTGAAGGCCATTATTAAGTAAAATAAGGGTCACTTGACTGCGGGAGCTGCAGTAATGTGGCAATTGATTTGATAAAAACAGTCAGAATGGCTGCTAAGCATCTCACAAGTGCATAGTTTAGACAGCATGGATATGCTAGACAAAAGAATGATTCCCAGCCTGGGCAGGACAGAGTGAGTTCATTTGAGGTTTCATTACACCCTTTATAGTGACATGCAGTTTAAAATTATGAATTGTTTATTTCTGAAATTTCCCATTTATTATTTTCAGATTGAGGGTAACTCAAACTACAGAAATTAAATCCACAAGTAAAAAAGAAAACTATATTTTTCCCATATGGTTTTCTATGCCTACTATCCCATCTCCTCAGCTATTTTAACATTACATCCTATTTAAGGTAGGATGCATCAGGTTTTCTTTTCTTTGAGTGTTTTGAGAAAACTATTCTTTTAAAATGGATTGGTTTAGATAGAGCCCATCAACTGTCTATCAAATGAGAATACTTCTACTTGGGAGATAATACAGCTGATGGAAATATAAATGACCCTGGGAATAACTTAAGTGTCTAGATTTATACAGGGATTAACTAGATGAAATTGCCCATATCCAGTACTTTTTAAGTTGCAAAATTGGCAGTTCATCACATTCATTCTGAGCTAATAGCAAGACCTAAACAATACTGTTATAAGATTCTCTGAAGGGGAGAGATGTAGGTAGTTTTCATTCTGTTAGAGGGAAGAGATTCTCTGGGACTGCAGTCAGAAAGCTGTTTCTGATGAAATATAATTACTGTAATGGAGGCATCTTTTTTCTGTGTATTTTACATTGTACCTTTGACTTTCTGCTTTAGTTTGTTCATGTCCCAGCCCGCTACCAGGACATGAACCCAACAGCTGTATTTCTGTTGTGAATCACATTGGAACTTCTGCCCTGTAACTACATGTGAGGCTATCCAGCCATATTCTCATCTTCTATTTTGTGTGTTCCTTAGGAAGAACTTGGGGAGCTCCCCTCAAACCCTTCCCTTCCGGCCACTCATAACTGTTGTTTCCAGCCCCTTTCTCCTGTTCCATTATTAGAGCACAGGTCCTTAGTGGGGTTCCACTGACAGCTCTTGGGATTGTTGATTACTGCCTAGCAGTTATGATTAACGTTTCTGGTTTAGTTCACTTAGGACATAAAGATGAATTTCTTTCTTCTGTCTCTGAGATCTTCAGAGGGTTCACAGTGGCTTCTTCCATCCACTGCAGACATCTTTTACAGCGTTGGCATCAAACACCTAGAGCCTTGACTGCACCTCCCCATGATTTTCTACCTAATTCACTTATTGCTGGACCTGTCTTTTCTTTAACTCTGCACTTAAACTGTTGCAAGTCATTGTCTGAGGATTAGATACATCTGAAAGTCATTTCATCTTTTCTCCCTAAAAGCTGAATAATCAGGTTGCCCACAGTTTTGGGGTAGCTATTTCCTATGCTGGATATTAGTTGCATGCAGGTGGTGAGCACCACGTGAGGAAGTATGAATGCCTGTTCCTTGCCTGGAGCCACTGCCGGAAGTTCACTTAGTGCATCTTTTCTGACTGAGCATGTGAGCATGACTGACAGTCTCCCCTGAGAGAATCCAGTCCTTCATGAACCACATAGGAAAATGACAAAAATGCCCCTTGTGAAAGTGTGTTCACCAACTTCCAGCATCACTGCATCTGGGGAGCACATTTATACCTGATGAAACCGAGGTTGGGCAAAGCTGAGAACATGGGCGGAAGCACTTGTGCCAGCAAGACCTGTTTCCAGAAGACTGCTTATTCTTTGGAGAGAAGGCACACAGGTCTCGGGCTTGCTTCGTAGTTATTTTATCTCTGGCACTGTTACTGTGATTGCGTGGTTCTCCATTTGTTACTACAACTCCCATGGAAACCTGTTCAGTATTGCATCTGTGTGTTCTATGATTGCAGGAATTACCAGGTTTAGAGAATCACAGTTTCTTGGCTAGCTTAGTGGTTGAGCCAAGATTCAAACTGAGCATCTTCTCTCAGTGCCCGTAGCCTTTCACTTTACCTGGAACTCATTTTAAATTTGAATGTCAGCCCCAGAATTGGAACATTGGTGAGCAAATAAGAAACCTCCCCTGACTGCTAACTGCACCCACTCCAAGGTTCCTCTGCTTTGTTAGGAAGAGCACTGGAGTCAGTATCTGTCTGGCTGTCAATTTTGAAATAAGACAAACCATCAGCAGTGCCATGTAGACAGTGAAAAGGTAGACAGAAGGGACACCTTATGAAACTGACCAGTTTGAATCTGTGGAAAGATGTTCACTGTCATTAATCATTAGAGAAATACAAGTGTGACCACGATACAAATTGCTGCATATCCACTAGAATTGTTAGGATGGAAAAGTCCACATTCCAAATGCTAGTCAGGCTCTGGAGGTAGCAGATCTCTCAGCTGCTTCTGGCCAGCTGGTGAAACCACTTTGGAAAATCTCCTTAGTAGTTTTGAACACAGCTGAACGTAAGCCTGCCATAGGTCCCAGCCTTTCCCCTGATAAGAGTAGGACCAACAGAAATGTATGCCTGTCAGATGACCAGTGTGAAAATGTTCACAGATGCCCTGTTCTTGATAGCCAAACACTGGGGTTGAAAAGAGAGCTCAGTAACAAAAGACCTGGGCAGCAGGTTGTAAAAAGTTTCTGTCGTGGAATACTGGAGTAAGAATGAGCCAACCGTTGCTACGTGCGGCAGTGCAGGCGGATCTCACAAATGGGATGCTGTGCAAAAGGAGGTGGACACAAGTGCTCCGTGCTGCACAGTGCCATTCATGTGAAGCCCGCAAACAGGAAGGACTGCACATTGCTGATGGAAGCCAACTAGAAGCGTTGGCATTCATGTTGGTGGGAGTGAGTGACCCAGGGAGCAGCCAAGCTCTCAGGATGCCAGCAGGGTTCCACTTCTTCACCTGGTTGCAGTTTACACAGCACTTTGAGAATCAGAATGTTCCTCACACTGTTCTCTCACCATATGCATGCTTTTCAGTATATCTGGTGTATCTTAGCACTGCTCTTAAAGTCTGATATGTACAGGTACCAGTCTTTAGGATTTGACTCTTAACAATAAAAATGTAAAACAACTTAGTGATTAACATAGTGTAGAATAGGAATTTCATGCCATAGTGTGGCCTATACATTCTGGGAGAAATATTCATCTTTTTTTTTTTTTTTCCTTAATAATGTTTCACTGGCTTCCATTTGTCTGGCTCTGACAATTTGGGAAAGTGGGGACTTGGTAAACTCCTACCATAGCTACTGCTGCTTAGCATTCACTCAGCCAGAGCAGTCCTGGTCAGGCAGGGTCTCATTGGATTAGAGTCCTTTCTAGCTTGAGAGTCTGCAATAAAACTTACGATTTTTTTTTTTTTTTTTTTTTTTTTTTTTTTTTTTGTACCCTGAGAAAAAAAGCATGAGGAAAATGACTGAAATTTCGAGATCAGCTAAAACTAATTCAGCGCCATCACTTCCTAGGAAATAGAGGAAAGCTTTCCTTGGCAGCCATCTTTTCACATGGGCAGTCTTCGGTGGCATCATCACAGAGAGAAAGGCAGTGTGGAATGTTCACAGGCCCTCGGCAGTTCCCTACGAATCATTTTTACAAAGTGTTAGGCTAACATGTAGGTTGGGTTTTCCCATTGTCCTTTCCACACAACTATAATTGAATTGTAATGAAGAAAGGGACCAGAAGAAGAGAATTGTGTTGTAAAAGCATCCCCTGGGCCTATTAGGTCCAGCCTTCCTGAGCATCCCCACCTGCTGTCTTGTCATTTGCCCCCTGAGGACTCTGAACCCCCACTGCCCGATCTGTTTGGGGTCCCAGTGAGTGAAGCAGAGCCACCATCTTTAAATTTTCAGCCTCTTCTTCTTTTCATTCCAGGACAGATATCGCAAATAATAATAGCCCAAAGATCATAGGTGCAACACTGACACATCTTCTGAAATGTTTGTTTCAGCTTGCTACTCTTGAATTCCCTCCAAAGAAATTATTTGGAAACAAAGATGAACGTGTGATTGCTGAGAGGCGAAGTCACTTAGAGGTAACAGAATTAAGCCTTTTTTTTCCTGTGTTTAGAGAGAATTTGCCATTTGACTGGTAAGAATTATTCCTGTTAGACACTATTGTTTCTGTTCATCATGTGAAGGTGCTGCTTCATTAACACAGGAGATGGCAGCAGAAGATTATAAAGGCTGCAGTGGTATTGGTTTACTTGAAATACAAGTGCTTATCCCCTTCTGGTCTAGTGGGACATTTTTCTAATTTTTGAGATCATTTGTTCTGAGGGTTAGGAAGCAAGATGTGAGAACTAAATATTCGCCACAGACAGATGGCATGTAATATAGAATGAGGGTATAAACTTGATGCAAAAAAACTTGGAATTAATTAACTGCAGATTTACAGTATTGCATCATTGTTGCTTTTTCAAGACAGTTGGAAGCAAAAAGGCAGATACCTATTTTAGTCATGGTTAGGCTTCGTTGGACTTACTATGTTTTAAATCTGCCAAGCCAGCTACACACAAAACTCAGTTTAACTAAACTCTTGTTTTTCTGACTGTCTTCCTGGCAGTACACATTGTTGACTGCTTTATTTAATCTGTGTTTCTTCTTGGGATAGATAAAATTGCTTATTTTGTTGAATCTGAGTTTTTGTGCTAAAAGGTGTGGACCAGCTGTCTTCAGGTGAGAACAGTGAAGTTACAGGGCACAGTCACAGGTTATCCTCAGCTGTGGGTCTCTCCCGGCCATTGTGTGCCATTGAGTCAAACAAGACTAAAGGACGAACAACTCAATACCATCTAGTATCCACATCTGTCCAGAGGCTTCTCAGAGCTCCCATTGCTACTTTAGGAAGAATCATCCTAAGACCTGTGAAGGCTGAAACCAAGTAAACAAAGTTTCGGAGAGCCTTTCTCAGCTCTGAGGTGCTACATGAAAATGAAGCATGTCTCACTCCTCACCATGGCCAGGTGAAAATGCCTGCCCATGGGGTTCATTTACTGCCCTTGAGGCAAGGATTAGGGAATGTCTAGAGGCCAGAGTTTCCTGAGAGCAGAAGGAGAGAAGTGGGGTACACAGAGGAGTTGAAGACTGGGACATTGCTGTCTTTGAGAGGGCACTTTAGAGTTTTGGGACCCTTGATACAGAGCTGCTCTAAGGAAGTGGACAGGTTTCAGCATGAGCCTTTCAGGTATTTGAATTAGACTGTGAAGTTATACATTTGAAGATCCTGGTCCTAGTGAGACTGAACTTTGTAAATTGCATGATTTCATAGTTCATTCTGTAGCAGATGACAGGATCCTCAAAACTGGCTGAAGAATTTTCCCTCAAGT